TTCAAATCTTTCATATAAGTAATACACTTACGACCTAAGTAAGGAAACGTAATTTTTATGGGATTATAATTTGGCGCCTTTTATTAATATCAAATCTTTCATTTAAAGTACAAGGAGATAGTAATACTTTTATATTGTAAAATAAGTGATATACATATTATTTAAATAGAGACCGGAATTTAAAATACAAAAAGAGATAACAATACTTTTATTTTGTAAAAATAAGATGGTACTGCTTAAATTTTAATTTTTAATTATGTGTCACTTAAGAGATCAGTATTTAAAGTATAAAAAGAGATAGCACTTAGGTTTTATTTTTTTAAATTTAAAATACAAAAAGAGATAGTAATACTTTTATTTTATAAAAATAAGATGGTACTGCTTAAATTTTATTTTTTAATTATGTGTCAATTAAGAGATCAGTATTGAAAGTATAAAAAGAGATAGTACTTAGGTTTTAATTTAAAAAAATGAGAGGTGATACCACTTAGGTTTAATTGTTTAATTTGTACAACTGTTTTTTGTTAAAAAAAGGAGGACATACGTATTAAATTTTGTTCGAGGAGTGCGCTATTTTGTATCACTTAAGAAACAAATATTTAAAATACAAAAAGGGAGCAATTAGGTTTTTCTTAACAAATAAGGGATATACAACTACACAACAATAATCGGCTAACAGGACAATCAAATAACAAAAGTTACGAAATAAAATAATATTACTACATAACATAAAAACATGTATTACTCTAAAAAACATATATTTTATATAAAAAATTAAAATATATTATGTTAATGCATGTTAGAATGCAATACGTTGCACATGCTGAAGCAAATTTTTATTTTATGAACACATTTATATTTTATAAAAATAAAATTTGATCAAAATTAGTACTGAGTTTCATTATAAAACAATAACAAAAATATATTCAATTTATTAAAATGTATGATAAATTAAAACTTACGATTTAATTATCTCAGCATCCACATTATTGACGATAATTGGCAATGGTTCTCCACATTCCATATTGCTGAAAAAAAATATCATTATTAAGTAGCTATTATAGGCCGGTTCTACTCCATGGGGCTCCGAAGAGGGGGGTGAGAGGCAGGGTGGTCCTCGGGGGGTCCGCGGTGAGGAGGAAGCCGCTCAAAAGGTTCTCGGCCTGATCCGGGGTCCGCGGGGAGAAGAAAGCCGCTGAAAGCCGCTTGCTCCAGCAGGCCTGACCCGGGATGCATGGGGACGGGGGAACGCGTCGTGGATGCGGAGGTCGCGGGGACGGGGGAACCGCGTCTTCGATGAGGAGGTCGCGGGGACAGGGGAATCGCGTCGTTGGTGCGGGTGTCGCGGGGACGGGGGAACCGCGTCTTGGATGCGGAGGTAGCGGGGACGGGGGAATCGCGCCGTGGGTGCGGGGTCCGCAGGGAGAGGAGAACCGCGGTGTCGGTGCGGGTGTCGCGGGGACAGGGGAACCGCGTTGTTGGTGCGGGGAAGAGGGAACCGCGCTCGCGCTCGCCGCCGCCGCCGCAGCCGCCGCTCGCGGGCCCGCTCCGCGGTACTGCCGCCACGGCGCTCGCTGCCACCACGTTCACGGGCCCACCCCGCGCTTATCGCTCGCGTCCCTCCCGTTGCGCACGTTCGCGATAGAGAAGAAAGAGGAGAAGAAAAAAGAATATTTAATAATTAAAATTATAAAAAATATTTAATTTAAAATTTATATAATATAGTTTTTGATAAGACAAGATCGCCGAAGGAATCTGTCGCCATCTGCAACAGACAAAGGAGGCGCATATTTAATAAAGTGCAAAAAGAAAAAGAAAGGATAGCTATTTAAAAAATACTTACCCTAATTATAAAATTCGACCGTCCTGTTCCCGTGGGCTCGCCTCCTCGCGCGAACTCGCCCTTTCGCCGCTGTCCCCAAGCACTCCCTCCCGCGGAGGCGTCCTCGCGCCGTCGTCCCAAGGCACCTCAAACTGCGGGTTCACCCGCGGAGACGTCCTCGCGCCGCTGTCATCGTCGTCGGCATCATCGTCGCTATTGAGAAGCTCATTCTAAAAGAAAAAAATATCGTCTTTATCCTAGATAAAAAAACATCGTTTATATCCGAGAGTAATTGCTTTTGTACTCACCAGCAATCTTCTACGCCTCTCAGCCTCTGCCTTCCGGCGTATACCCTCCATCCACGTTTCGTACTTCTCTTTCCAGTCCAGTTCTTGGCACTCCCAAATCCTTAATTGTGTCGTATAAACAATTTGATTTTGCTATATTATGAATAAAACAAAACGACAAGTGTTGATCGAAATTGTTATGATTTTTTAACACCGTTTTATTGCCAATTTCACAATTGTATATAAGTTTTGCCAGCGGCGGCATGCACTGGACGTCCTGCATGGTGGCTTGACACTAAAACTCAACATTCAGTTATAGAGATGTTCGTACCCGAGAAAGATAAAAATCAAATGCGCTAGCATTCAAACACGTGTTATAATTACTTCTACATCTCACTGTGCAAGCACCTAGGTACATGTTATACTTACTACTACATCTCCATGTCGCGATAATGTTGTGAGGACAAAGCATCTAGATACTTACCACAACATATTAACGTTGTCACGTCTCCATGCAGCGGTAATACAGTAGAACCTCTTTATAGTCACACTCGGGACCGAAATGTGACTATAAAGAGGTTGTTTTAGCTCCGCCCAAAGCAGGGCCGTAATAATCTTTTTAAGCACATGTGTAGTACATATTTTTTTAAATGCTTTAGAAAAAAATTTATTATAACAAAATAAATAAATAATCTATCATTTTTATAGATCGGAAGAGCACACGTCTGAACTCCA